TATCTAACCGTCCATGGCCACATGTGCTGCATCCACCTTTTGGCCAATGTGAATAATCCTGCCATGAGCATGGGCGGATAGACCCCTGCTGTCACTTCTTTTTCTCCCCTCTTTAAAAAGTACTCTTTGGGCTTCCCTGGTGGCGCAGTGGTTGAGAGTCCGCCTGCCGATGCAGGGGACGCGGGTTCGTGCCCCGGTCCGGGAAGATCCCACGTGCCGCGGAGTGGCTGGGCCCGTGAGCCGTGGCCGCTGAGCCTGCGCGTCCGGAGCCTGTGCTCCGCAACGGGAGAGGCCACAACAGTGAGAGGCCCGCGTACCACCAAAAAAAAAAAAAAGTACTCTTTGTGCCGGAGAATCTTTTGGCTGCTCAAATCAGTCTCTGGCTGCCCTTCTGCCTTCCCAGCTGCTTTTTTACTAAGTTGATTGATGATGAACACCCCTTCTCATTAGCGCAGCCCTCAGCCACTAGGAAATTAGAGGCTCGGCTAATTCACACGGAAGTAAAAGGGTGATGACTTTTCCCATGTCATCCTTGGGAAGTCACTAATGCTTCTGGAAACAGAGACTAAGGATTTCCCCAGGGCTGGGCCTTCTGATCTTCAGAGGGTGGCTCCTCAGAGGCAGGGACTCCAGTGAATGGGCAATGTTCTGGGAGAGTCCTCAGGCACATCCTGGCCAGGGCTACTGGGCATCTCTTCAGATGTCCTGGTCCATTGGCTGTAGCAGAGCCTGTATGAAGCCATAGCCATGGTTTCAGAGGCCCCTGGGCCAGCGCATTCTACTCAGTAGCTATAGACTGCACTGCTACTCTCCAACAGCTGGCCTAAACAGTACTCGCACTTGAACAAAAAAGATGCAAATTGCAAAAGAAATTTACATTAAGAAAGTTCACACGCTTTCAGAATGGAGGAGGACCAGATATGAGAGAGAATGGAATCACCATGAATGGCATGGGGGTCAGCCAGATACAGATCAGGTCTCGGTGGCTGTGGGCTTTGTCTAAGCTATCCAAATTCTGTGAGCCTCAGTTTCTCCGTTTGAAAATGGGAAGAAGGCCACTGTTGGGATTAAATAAGAAAACATATGAAAGTTGCTTTTGTCGAATAACCCTAGCTGTGTATTAGTGTTATCTTATAAAATGGGTGCTTTTGAAATATAAGATGCCCGGGCACCCTCCCCAGAGACCGTGATTTAATTGGCTGGGGCAACAGTAGTGTTTATAAAGTTCCCCAAGTGATTTTAATATGCAGTCAGGGTGACAAATCATCAGCCTAGAGTGTAGCAGACCCTCCACAAATGTTAGCTCTCCTTCTCAGCCCTTGTCTCATCCCTGCAAACTCTGTAAAGCACGTGCCCTCCTTCACACACGATAGCCTTTGGCCTTAGCTGCCTGGATTCATATCCTGGCTCTGTGACAGTGAGCAGGGTACTTAACATAACAGAGCCTCAGTTTCCTACACAAGAAAATGGGATTACAAACAGAATCCACACCATGGTCTTCCATGAAGATTAGAAGAGAGAATTTAGCATGTGTCTTGGGGATAGCACAACGTCAATGTTGGCTGTTATTGGGAGCAGTCAGTGTCAAGTCAGGAATCCCATGGTCTGTACTGCAGCCGGCCCTTTTCACCCCCTCCAGAGACACCAGCCCTTCTCTCCCCTGCCAGGCTGTCCTGCTCCGGCTCTCCTGCTGAGCCACGTTCCTGGGAGATGCCTGGTGAGGGCTTGGGATCACATTGAGTCAGAGGTATTTGTAGGCGTGACTCACCAGGTCTTAAAACCAGAAGATTGCCCTGTGGGTCTCATGACGTTTCTGGAAAATAAAAGGAGTGAATATTATTGGGTTTAGTTCATCCGACACTCACCCTCCCTTTTGTGTGCCGGGGGTTCTGAAAGAAGCAGGCAGTGGCCCAGCCAAGTCTGAACCATCAAAGGCCAGGGCCTGGCTGCACTGCTGAGAGATGTTTCTTCTCCCCCAGACAGGTTTCATCCTTTTCCCACAGACTTCTGCTTCTCTGGTTCCCTGCCCAAAGCTACCCTGTTTCTCCTCCCTCCAGGCTCCTGGGAAAATGTTCCCACGGGCTGCCTCTGCTGAGGTGTGTCAGAGCTGAGCTATGCTGCATGGCTGGGTGTGGGCTGGGAAGGGGCCACCCAGACTCCAGAGCATAAGAAAGGGAAAGTTCCCCTTCTGCAGCCAGAATTTCTGGAACCTTGCACTGAAGCGGCAGCCAGGAGTGCACCCATTTCTCTGATGCCTTTTCCCCCACTTCCTGCATCCCTGCTGATAGTAAATACTAATGTTTCTGGGTCCCAGCTGTCTCTAGAAGCTGTCTACTTCTCTGCATCTCTAGCTACCACCCTAGCAAAAGCCACTGTCATTTTGTAATTTCTCACCTGCAACGGCAACCTCCTAACTTGTGTCCCTGGCTTCTATTCTGTCCACTTCTTGCCCAATGCAGCCAGGTGAACTTTTCAAAATACAAAACTGATCATACCACACACACACACACACACACACACACACACACACACATAGAGACACACACACACACAGACACACACACACTTATGTTTAAAACTTTTTCAAAGCTTTCCATCGTTCATAGAATAATGACAAAACCCCTTAATAAATTCAGCAAAGCCATGTTTATCAGGATTTGGTTTGGCTGTGAGTGACAGAAAACCCAATTTAACAGGAGTTTGAATAGATAAGATTTTATTTTCTCATACAAAAAGGCTACAGTTGAGCCAGCTAGAATTTGTATAGCAGTTCCTCAAAATTCTCAGGGACTCAGTTCTCTGCTCTATAATCCTTAGCATGTTGTTTCTACCTCATGGTCCAAAGGGGCTGCTTGAGCACCAGCCATTGCAACCAAAACCCAGGCACAGGAACAAAGAATTGTACATAGCACTTCTACTGACATTTTTCTGCCCAGAATTTAGTGACATGGCTAGAGCTAGTTGGAAGAGAGGCTAGAAAATGTAATCTTTATTCTAAGTGGTCATGGACCAGCTGAAAAAGAGGAAAAAAATGGATATTGAGCAATACTGGCAGTGTTTATCATACACTCCATCTCCTGACCCCTGCTCTCCTTTTTGAGCTTCATCTCACCTCACACTTCCTTCCCCTGGCTCTCTCCACTGCCAGCAAACTGGCTGTCTCTGGAAGTCCCACATATTTGCAGCACTCCCTTCTGCCTCAGGCCCTTGCTCATGCATCAACATTCTCCCCTCTTCCTACTTAACTACTCATCCTTACTCCACTCCAACAGCATTTCCTCAGGGAATCTTCCTTGATTAGGTCAAACCCTCCCTTTTCTTTTAGATGCTTATAGCATGTAGATTGTATCTCTGTTGCAATTACGCATTTGTTTATGCAATTATTTGATTAATTTCTGCCTCCACAGTGAGGTCAGGATTTAGGTCTGGCTCTGTACACTGTGGAGCATTCTGCTGGGCATATTGTAGGTGCTCAATAAATATTTGTTGAATGACTTAATGAATAAATGTAGCCATTATCTTATATAAAAAAGAGGCTATGACTCAGCAAACAATTTTCCTGGGCAAATGGTGGAGGGTGGCCAGGAGGGCTGGGGAGACACAATAGGGCCAGGGGAGAGTTCTAAATGATTCATTCAAATCCAGTAAGCTTTTGGGTGTGGCAGAGGAAGCACTGACCTGGAACTCAGGAGCCCCGTTTTCTGGTCTCAGCTCAGCCACCAGTAGCTGGACCACTGCCTGAGCCAGTGAGAATTGATCAGATGCTGGATATACTTTGAAGGCAGAGGCTATAACCACTGCTGGCAGATTGGATGTGGGGAGTAAGGGAAAGAGATGGGTCAAGGGTTTGTCCTGGGTGTTTGGCTAAACAAAGGGAAGGTTACTTACTGAGAAGGGGAAGGTAGCAAGAGGGGCAGGTTTTAGGGGATGATCTGAAGGGTTTATTTGCAAACGAATTGCAGGTTCCTGTAGCCAGCTGCACACTTCACCTCTTCCACAGGCGTCCCCCAGGGAAAGCCTAGGTCCAGGCAGGTGGGTTTAAGTGGTGGTGACAGGGAATGCCAAGTGGGTGTAAAAAAGATAGAAAAGGTCAGCCGTTCAAGGTACATAGTTACCAGCCGAGCAATGATTCAGCCTGACGCAGCAATAAGATTGAACAGAAAGTACTCAGAAGACCTTGACTTACAGGCTTGGGAAGAAGCAGTCGCTTTCTGCTAAAGGTCAGTGACAAGGCAAGGCATGTTCATGCATGGTCACTGCAGAAATCTTTGAAGTTTTAGCTTAAACAGCAGTGAAGGGCTTTCTTCTTTAAGAACCCTTCACTCCTCCCTAAGCCAGTGCTCACTCGTTCAAGGCTTTGCTGGAAAACCATCAAACTAACAGTAGGGTAGGCCACCTCTCTTATTCCTCTGATGGCTAGGCGAGGTCATCACATCATTACTATTACTATCTTCATGATCATATGAGACTTCTAGGTTGCTCCTCTACCCCGGTTACTCTAGTTTCTATGATTGTGAACCCTAAGCTTTATTGACAACCTTGTATATTTGGTCTACACCTTTGCTCTGCAAGGTGTGGTCCCCAGACCAGCAGCACCCACATGACCTGGGAGCTGGCTAGAAATGCCAAGTCTCTGGCCCCAGTCCTGACCTGCCAAATCACAACCTGCCCTTTAACAATGTCCCAGGGGAATGGACTGCACATGGAAATTCAGGAAACACTGCGCTAGAACATTTTGTGTACCTGCCTCTATCTCATTTTCCTTGTTAGACTTCTATTCGATTATATATAATGGCCTCTTGTCTGCTGTGTGTGAAGCTTATTAACATCGTTCTCAAGCAAAAGCAGAGCCAACAGTTTGTAGGATTTCTCTTTGATTCTTTTCAACTCACGAGGGTTATGTGCCCAGAAGTGTCGGAGATGCGTGGTTAACAAAAGAAGAGCCTCACAGAAACCGGAGGAACTTAAGTTCTGGTGGAAGAGAGGCAGTTCTGTGAAAGCCAATAGCAGAAAGTAGCCATGCAATCTCCATCAGAGGAGTTTTCGGGCGCACGGGTGGCTCTCCTCAACTGCGGTCCCCGAGGAGCCATTGCTTCTCTGCTCCCATCAGACCAAATTCACAACCATACCGACTGGACATTGGAACATCTGGGACCTGTGAGTACTGTGAGAATGTGGTTGGGTTGAAGTCAGGAGGAGGGAACAAACTCTCGCCAGGTGATTGCTCTGAGTCTCCGCAAGACTCAACTCCTAAATGACGGAACAGCTCACCCATGAGGGGCAGCGAAAGCACACACGTTCACAAGCAATGGGGAACGTGTTTACTCCCTGGCTCTGTCATCATGTCATTCTCCCACCCACACCTCCCCAAGATAACAGGCCGAGGTAATAGAGCAAGCTCTGCCTTTGAAAGGCTTGGAACCCCTCAAGGGCAGGGCATAAAGGTGGGCACCCAAACTGCCAATGAGGAGAGCCAAGAGTAGACACTCCAGCTGGAACTGGGAGCAAGCCTTCGGAGACTGGGCTCCAGTAAAACTCAGAACCGCTTCCAGGGTGAGCACGAGCCATCTACCCAAAGGCGGGAACAGGGCGGCCGAAACAGCTGAGGTCATTGGCATTGAGGTGGATCCTTTGACCTGAGGTTGGTAAACCTTGCTGCCATACCCAGTTGCAAAGAGCTGCTGCCCACTTTCTACGTGGGGACTCAGGGGATTAGGGGAGAACTCACAGCAGGACGCTTATAGAGTCTTTGAGTGCGGCCCCCTGTGAACTTAGACCCGTGCTCCAAGCTGAAGACTTTTTTTTCTTTTTTTTGCGGTACGCGGGCCTCTCACCGTTGTGGCCTCTTCCGCTGCGAAGCACAGGCTCCGGACGCGCAGGCTCAGCGGCCACGGCTCACGGGCCCAGCCGCTCCTCAGCATGTGGGATCCTCCCAGACCGGGGCACGAACCCGCGTCCCCTGCATCGGCAGGCGGACTCTCAACCACTGCTCCACCAGGGAAGCCCCAAGCTGAAGACTTTGGAAGGCTGGTTGATCAGTCCTGGTTGGGACCGAGGGGTCACTGGGATAGGAAACCAAGTCCTCAAGGGGGGAAGGGTCTGGCTCAAGGTTCCATGGCATTTTCTGGCAGAGTGGGAAACAGCGCTGAGATCTGGCTCCTGGCCCCAAACTCTTTCAACTTCCTCCTGAGAGCTTGGCTTTGCTGGGACAGTGGAGGGAGCCCTCCGCTTAACACACTCTGCTTCTGAGCGGGGTGGAGGGGTCCTCCTTTCACAGCCTTGACCTACTGTCCTTGGCAAGACTGCCTGCGAACAGGCTGCAACTTCCGCCCCCGCCTGGAACTCCCTCGCTGTCTTCCCAGCAGTGCCCCTCTCTAGACCTCAGGAGAGAGCCTTACCCACCAGGATGCCTTGCTGGACTCCATGGTCTCCCCTGCCTATGGATTCCCGTGCTCCTGAGACCCACTCTTCCTTATCGGATCTAGGGGTAGGAAATAAGTTTCCACCTTCTAACTCAGTTCCTTTATACCTAGCATGGAGCGGGACATACAACTGGCGCTCAATAAATGCCCGAGTGACCCTTTCTCGTTTCCTCCTTGACAGATTCAGAGCCCAGCACCTTGGACTCCCAGTCTTCGACCACCTTGTTCCTCTCCTCCGAGGACCCAGGCCCCTCCACCACCGCGCTTCCTTCTCCCTCGTCGTCCTGCGAGCCCCAGGCGTTCTCCCCGGGGCCCTCGGTGCTGCCCCCGCTGCTGCCGCCGCTCCCCGCCGCCCCTGCGCCTCCCGCCTCGGGCTCGGGCGCCCCCCGGCGCGCCGGCCTCTACTCGGTGGTCGCCTCCTCCCCGGAGGGAGCCCCGCGCCTCGTCGACTGGCTGCCCGGCTGCCCCTCGACCACCCCTCCCGGCGTCCGCGGGGATGAGCGTGATCGGCCGGCTACCTGCGCCCCGCGCCCGGGTGCAGCAGGCAGGGAGGAGGGCGCGGAGGACCCGGGCGCTTCCCCGCCGCCCTGCGCCCGGCCCGCCGCCGCCGCGACCTTGGAAGCCAGCGTCGGGGACATCCTGGTGGAGTTGCGGACGATGAATGGCCACCTGGACGTCATAGCGAGGGCCCTCACCAAACTGGCCTCGTCCCTGGGGCCGCAGCCGCAGCCGCAGCCGGATGCCCCGGATGGCAACTGATGGAGCTGCCCCCGGACCGTGTATCCGAGCCGCGCAGTAAAGGGATCCCGAATGCGCCAGGCATCCCTGCCTGTGTCACCCCTGAGCCTGGCGAACCCAGCAGAGGACGGAATTACTCTGCTCAACCTACTTATGGGAAGGAATGGCCCTCCCCTCGCATTTCAATCTGAAATTCTGGTGCTTTTCACACTCTCTACCATGCCAGGCTCGTTCTCAGCTCTCTCCCGCCTGCCCCACTCCTGGGAGCTCTCCTGGCCCTTCAGGTGTCCTTCTCTTGTTTTGGAGAAGGCCTTGAGCTCCTGGCAGGACAAGTGCCCGAAGATTGCGGTGGGACCCTGGGCAAGATGCTCAGAGAACCGTCCTTTCCCGACCCACATTGGTGACTTCTGAGTCCTGTGGAGGGAAGGCAAGTGCGAAGCATGTTACAAAGTCAGTCGTTCAAGGGCAGCTCCGGTGTTCCTTTCTTGAGTTGTTGATGTGGTATCTGATCTCTGGTGACTTTTACACATTTCTTTAAAAAATAGTTTTGGGAAAAGAAGTTTATTTTTTCCCATTATAACCACATTTCAAGAGGTTTGGAAAATAGAGAAGTGAGAAAAACCTGATGTATTTGGAGAAGGGGGGTATTTAAGTCTTTCTTAAGAATAAGAAAGTAGTTTGTGTAATAAACAAGATTTTTATATGTACTTTCTGGGTGTTGGCCTTTTGGTGCCACATTTCTTCCTCCCCCTGCTCTCTCTGTTCTCAGTTACCTATCCCAGCCTTACTTTACTCCTTGAGTCTTATTTCAACTTTTCTCGTGCTTGTGAAGGATAAGCTTTTAAAGGTTGGCATGGCTCTTTTCGAAAGCTCCCAGACCTCCCTAAATTTGGTAAATCCACCCTTTTTCTCTGGATTGGAGCAGAAACCGATTCACTGGCCAACGAGGTGGAAGCCAGCACCCCTGGCCTTTCCTCCTAGATGCCGGTAACACCATCCTTCCCAGTTGTGACAAACAAACACGTCTCCAGACTTTGCCAGTGTCCCCTGGTGGAGACCTAGATGGAATTTCAGAAATCTGGAGGAACCTATGCCCTCCAGGATCTGACTTCCCATAAGGAAGAGGGCCCTTCTCTCGCCTTCCTGATTGAATTAGAATTTTAATCAAGTGTGCTCCTTTGCCAGAAGCAAACCTACTGCTCTTTTTCCAGAACCAAACCAAGCGTCGGAAACCACATTGCACAGAGTAAAGCCCCACCCCGAGCATTTGCAGGGCGCGCAGCTGGTGAGCTGCCTGGTTTCTGCGGTTTCTGCCGCCCCCAGAGCTCCTCAGACTTCGGCACGGAGAGCTTATGATGCAGGATCTGCTTCGGCGGCTCCGGGGTGGGCCTGGGACTCTGCATTTCAAGCCAGCGCCAGGGGATGCTGATGCCACTTGCCCAAGACACATTTTGTGCAGTAGTGAGTAGGGGTCGTCCGCAGTGGGATTCCTGCTGGTCGCATTGCCGCCGTTCCCCGGAAACTGCTTGTTTGTCTTTGCCCCTGCAGAGGCCTGGATTCCTCAACCTTTAAACTTTCAAAGCAGCTGTTTGCGGGGACTTTTCTTTTTAAAGCCAGGGTGTATTGAGTCTAACCACCCACTTCTACAAAAGCTTCGGTGGAGTTCAAAGCAATTCCAGCGAGCATTTATTGGATATCTACAATGCTGATGCCCTGGGGGACACAAAGATGAATAGAATAAAGGCCCTGCCCTCCAGGGGTTTCCCAGCGCAGTGTCCCACGAGGAGAGGGATTATTAATCCCAGCGCGTAAACAATTCGAAGCAGCAGGGAGTGGTGAGAATGGCAGTCACGGGAGGCCAGGCTTCTTGAGGTTTGACTTTGGCAGAGTTATTTAATCCCTCTGAGCCTCAGTCTCCTGATCTGTGTCCAATGGGGATGATGGCATCTGCCTATCAGAATCAGACATGGACGCGATGGCGGCTTTGCACTCCCGAAAGTGCAGCCCAAATGCCTTTTTATGGTCAGCGGGCATTTTTACTTCCTCTCTCCTGGGTCCTAAGTCAGGAGGCGCCAGGTGGAGTGAAAATCAGACACTCAGGTCTGAGTTGCCTTCCGGCTTTGAGGGACTAACCCCTTCACTTTTTCCGGAAGAGAATCTATGGCCCAGAGGGACCAGGCTTTGTTCTGATCTTTAGTGGAAGAAACAGCTAAACTGGAATGCCAGTGCCACACCTGAGGGCATCAGCTTCTGGCTTTTACTCATTTGAACAGTCTTTTGTTTTAATTTTAACTGACTTCTTTTGTGTGAGATTAAAAAACAGCAACAAAAAACTGAATCTTTCAGGAACAAAGAGGGGCTGGCATATAAATCCTAAATTTAGATATAGGGACTGAATCATTTGATCAGAATCCCCATATATATTTATATATTTATACTTCTATGTATGAGATTGAGATCGAGGATATCAGAGGAAGGAACCGACATAACACTGATTCCATCTGGGCAGACCAGAGAAAAGTCTGAGCTCCCGTCCTGGGTGAGTGGGGCCTCAGAGACTGGGCCTGCTTTAGGGTTTTTGAAGCTGGGGCTGAAGCAGGTTAGAAGGTCAGGATGGCCTTCATCTTGCAGAAGGTACAGCCAGGGGAAATTTGACATTTTCTGGGGTGGGATGGAATTGAGTTCAAACAAAATATCAGTTTGAAGGTGCTAGACAGAAAAAAGGAAATCTAGTTTTGTAGATTCTTTTTTTTTTTTTTTTTTTTTTTTTTTTGCCGCGCGGCTTGCAGGATCTTAATTCCCCAACCAGGGATTGAAACCAGGCCCTTGGCAGTGAAAGGGTGGAGTCCTAACCACTGGACCACTAGGGAATTCCCTAGTCTTGTAGATTCTAGATTGAAACTTCCCTCCGGTACCTGTCCTGATACCTGTGTTTCCCAAGGCGTAGGGTGTCGTTCGGGTGGGCCTGTCATGAGACAAGCACGTGATGGTTCAAGGTGGCAAGCTGAAGGCAAGCATAAGACTTATGGCGGAGGATAGCAGGCTTCAGCCAAGGAAGGATTTACCAGCAGTTACCGGACTCAACTGTGTGAGGTAGTGAGGGCCCTGTTTTAGGAGGGCACCAAGCAGAGACTGGATGGGAGCAGCTGGTGCTTCAGCAGAAGGGATTGTCCACTTGGTGGGGCAGTGATTTAAGGACTCTTTCACTCTAACTTTGAAGTAATTCTTAGCTCTTCCCTGTCTCTCATGCCTATATCCAATCCAAAAGCACATCACATTGGTTCTACCTTCTAGAGAGTTCCATGATCCAGCTACTTCTTACCACCTCCATTGTTACTACCTGGTCCAAACCACTCTATCCTTTCTCACCTGAGTTATTGCAATTGGTTCCTAAATGGGCTCCCTGCTCCCTCTCCATTCTCACAGAGCAGCCAGGGTGGTCTTTTAAAAATATTTCTGACTAGGTTATTCCTCTGCACAAGACTCTCAGTGGCTTTCATCTCACTCAGAGTAAGAGCCAAAGTTTTACGTAATCTGGCCTCCTGTTACCTGCCTGACCTCATCTCTTATGACTCTCCTGCACTCTGATCACCCACGCCTCCTTGCTGCTTCTCCCATGTACCAGGCACATTCCTACCTCAGGGCCTTTGCACTGCCTATTTCTTCAGCCTGGACCACTCTTTCCCAGATATATCACATGGCTTGCTCCCTCACCTCCTTCAGGTCTTGGCTCAAGCATCACTATCCTTTTAAAAGTTGTAATCTGCTCCCTTACCATCAGCCTCCTCTCCCTAGATGCATTTCTTTTTCTCCTTTCTTGCTTTTTTGCCTCGCACCAATATCCACCTTACCCAGTATATGTCTTACTTTATTTTTTGTTCTTAGAATGTCAGCTTCCCGTGAGGGAAGAAATTTTTGTCTGTTTTGTTCACTGCTGTCTTCCCAGCACACCGCCTTTTAAAAAACAAAGTGTTTTGTAAAAGGGACCTGTCAATTGTTGTAACAATTCAGACAACACAGAGGAGAACAAAGAAGAATATAAAACTCACCCCAAATTCCACCCCCAAGAGATAACCGCTGTCAGTATTCTGGCAACTACTATATGAAACATCTGTGTTTCAACAGAAACACATACATGTGTGTCCAATTCTACAGATGGACAGTATGTCTGCTGCTCTGTAGCCTGTTTTGTTTGTTAACTTGATAATAGATGATGAACATTTTTCTATTTAAAAAAATAGACGTTATATACGAAGCCAGATTTACTTAGCCCATTTTCTATTTGTGCTTCCAGATTTTTCACAATTGTAAGCAGTCTTGTAATGACCGTGTCTGGGGGATACACGTTTTGTCTCTTCTGTGACTATGTAGTTCATGTAAATTCCTGGAGGTGTAATTGTGGAGTCAAAGGCATACGTTCCTACTTCTTTTTCTTTTTTTAGATGTTATTATTATTATTTTTTTACATCTTTATTGGAGTATAATTGCTTTACAATGGTGTGTTAGTTTCTGCTTTATAACAAAGTGAATCAGTTATACATATACATATATTCCCATGTCTCTTCCCTCTTGCGTCTCCCTCCCACCCTCCTTATCCCACCCCTCTAGGTGGTCACAAAGCACCGAGCTGATGTCCCTGTGCTATGCGGCTGCTTCCCACTAGCTATCTACCTTACGTTTGGTAGTGTATATATGTCCATGCCTCTCTCCCGCTTTGTCACAGCTTACCCTTCCCCCTCCCCATATCCTCAAGTCCATTCTCTAGGAGGTCTGTGTCTTTATTCCCATCTTACCCCTAGGTTCTTCATGACTTTTTTTTCTTAAATTCCATATATATGTGTTCACATATGGTATTCGTCTTTCTCTTTCTGACTTACTTCTTGCTTTAGGCTGTTGCTGTGGCTTCATCAAGGTTCCAAAAGGGGAAGTGAGTGGATGACAGGAGGAACACGGGGACCTTGGGGTGGTTCCATCCAGGAAACTGGAAAAAGGGGGAAATAGAAACAAGTCTGCCTTCTAAAGGTTGAACTTTAAAGTTGGCGCGTGTGGGGCCAGACAGAGGTGTGCCACCACCCTGAAGATGTGAATCTTGGATGGTCACTCAAACAGTGAGTTAGTCTGGGTCTGGTCAGGAAACAGAGGCCATCTGGGTTCTGCACACAGAGGGGACTCATTCAGGAAGTGGGAGCAAAGGCGTTGGAAGGCTGGAGGAGTGTGGAGGGGAAGGTGGGTACCCCAAGAGGAGTGACTGCAGGAAAGCGCTACCGGCCCTGGGCTGGAGATGCCAAGGGGACTCAGGACCAGCGTGATGCCAAGGCCCCGGCGGTAGAGCTGAGCTGCTTCAGCAGGAACCCAGGAGCGACCCTGCCAGGCTGCAGCCCCTGCCACCGTCAACCTCGGCTGTCACTAGTGCTGTCGCCACTGCCTGACACCCGCCACCGGGGGCCACGGGGGAGGAAGGGAGAGAGTTGCTTCTCCCCGCCTCCCACCTTCCCTGTCAGCGCCTCCTCTTCCCAGAACGTAGCTGGGGGCCCATTGGAGGGAGTCTGGGAGGTGCAGTTCGTGGGGCTTCAGCCCTTATGACACAGGGCAGAGCAAAGAAGAGCAGGAATGTAGCTGACAACAAATAAGCAAGTGACAGTCCCAGCAGGAACTCGCGTCAAAGTAGTGGTGTATCTGAAGACAGCA